TCAAAACTGAAAAAAAAAAAATCTAGCAGACCTTTTCAGCTGTAATGAAGTGCTTCAGATAAGTTTATGAACTCAGCAAGTATGCATACAAGCAGGGAAAAATGCAGCTCAAAAAAAAAAAAAAGCATGAAGGCAGCACAAGCAGAAATGGCATTACCACTCCCACTTCGATATGCACAGCACACAACGCAGTGCATAAGGTTCACTTCACCAGTCGGAGGGGAAGCTGCACAGAACTATACTGCACTTCTGCAGCACCTTCTGCCGTTTGTACTCCTGACCTCGATGACCAGGCACTATGCAATCCTAAGAAATTCTGTCATCTTGGGAGTCACTGCGCAGTAAGGTTATAGGTCTGTACTCAATACATACATTAAAAAAAACCTGGACAGGAAAAAGTATTTTCTCCTGATTCTACTGCTGTGTAAAAGCCACACAAATAACAAAAGCACACAAGTCAATTTTTCTGTTGTATGCTCAACACTAAAGCAATTTTTCTACTACTTCTTATAGTATTCTTAGAAGTAGTTGTAATAATATTCTTATATAAGACATCTTTTAAGGAAAATTATGGATACACATTAAAAAAAATAATTTTAAAATCTCTTTAAGAATTATTTCAAGAGATATCTCCAAGGAGAACGCATAGCACATTAGTCCTGAATGGCTTGGTGGTCAGTATTTCAAATTGAAAGAAAAAAAAAAAAAACCAAACAGCAAGTTTTCTCCTTCTGAAATTAACTTTAGTTCACCTCTGTTGTGACCGTATTTATCAATGTACAGTCTAGTTTACAGATATATGTAATAACCACACCAAAACTAATTCTAAGCGTGGGCACAGAGATCCCATTCCCCTGGAAGCAGCCTCTTGAGCCAGAACTGTCAGAGCTCTGATCACAAACCCATCTGCATATGGAAAGCCTACATTCCTATCTCCTCCTTCTTTGCCTCCTTCTGTTTAGGCAAGAGACAAGTAATACTACACCTACGGTTATTCTACACTACATGAAAGCTGGGGGTGGGGTGTTAAACTATAGATATACCATACAACTCTTACGAGCAACCCTACAATAACAAACTTGTGATGCATGTGATGAAAGATATTTTTAAAAAAGGGAATTTGGAGAGGAGAACTACAATCGTTGTTATATTAAAGATTTAAAAAAAAAAAAAAATCTCAAGTGTTCAGACTGTGGATCATCTGTGCAGCAGATGCAGGAACAGGTCAGGTCTGGCAGGATTACTAGCAGTAACCTATCACTATGAGAGCACAATGTACCTGAACCAGCTTTTGAGGTAAACAGTACAGCAGCATTTCTACAGCTCTGAACCCTTAAGTGTTAAGCACTGTATCATCTAAACTGACTGCAATGACAGTCTTTCTGTCTCCGCACCGAGTTCCAAGAAACACACTTGCAAGTGCAGACTCCAGTAATGATTGACTCAGCTGAGATCCAGATGAATACTATCCCATCTCTTATGTGGCTAGCTCCACAGGGAGTCACAGCCCCCTCAACACATTCACCAGGACTAAAATCCAGGTGGCTTATTAGACAAGCTATAGTGTCATGCAAATGTGCCAACTCAGTTCTGGGCCAGTACTGCATTCAACTTCACAAGCCACCTCATCAAAAAAAAAAAAAAAAAAGTAGCACAGAAATGCCAAAACACCACCTTTAAAATCTTAAGAGTAATCTGCACCAAGTCCAAACTGACTTTTCCAGATGCAATGACAGGCTTATAACATACATACTCCAGTGAAACAGATCAACAGCATATTAATTCACTGGCAATGCTTTAAGCAATCTGACATCTACAAGCCGAGCTGTGCTTGAGGTAGTAAAACTTCCTGGAATTCATAACACTGAAGTCCAGCACTGAGATCTCCTGGTCTCTCTGAATCAAGTTGGATTCACAAGGACCATCATCTACACATAGCTAAGCCTGACCAAGCTAACTTTGTGTAAATGTTGGATGCCTCTGTGCCACCTGGTATCTTTATCAAATGGATTATTCCAGCTTCTTCATGATAAGTACAAATAGTAGTAGCTTGTAGTAAACCACAAACACATAGTCTATTTACACTCTGCTATACACTATAATTAAACCACTCTTAAAATAGGATCATCAGGAAAGATGTTTAGTACATAATAGGATGATGGGGGGGGGGGGGGGTTTGAACAACAGTTGTGCTACAATTCCTAAACTTAGCTTCTCTAGTCTCTCCTTGGATACCAGTACTATCAGCCCCCGCACAACACACATGCACCATTCAATTTCCCAAGCCAGGACCCAAAGTCCCTTACGTACTACTCCATATGTATACATCCTCATACGTACCCTAATACTACTTCTTCCTACATCAACACGTATCTGCCCTGCTTTTTGATTCAGAAGTTCAGGTACATCTGAAGATACCAAAAGGGCCCACTATGCAGGGTAACAGCAGCTGGTGCTGACACAGGCAAAGCTGAGAGCCGTTGCCACCCATCTTGAAGACATTCACCATAGGTCAGCTAAGATCAATTGGCTGATTTAGGGAAAACTAAGACTTTTCAAGCAATAGTTAAAAACTTATACAGTGATTGTAAAAAGTGCATACTGGCATTACAACTTTCTATTTATTAGGTACCACATAGGCATGATAATTAGGTAAGTCAAATAATTACCAGACACCTCGATACATTCATTATCCAAACAGTTCAGGTTTACAAATATCACAGTTTCATAAATAAATAATCAGCCACCACTTTCACTGACAAGCAGTATGTACCAGCTTAGTGGCAGCACACAAAAGAAACGGAACACAGTAGATATCAGCATAAAACAGCTGAAAGGCTATGGGAAGCCAACTGCTCTAACCTGCTGTTAACCAAAGTTCTCTGGTGACCCACCTACTTGAGTTACAGGCTCCTGAGTTAGTCTATTTCTTTCAGTTGTTAAAGCAAGACTAACTTTAGTGCGAGCAATTAACCCTAGTCTCTTATCAGCATGGCTTTATTTGCCCAGTAATGGCAGCTTGAACAGAAAAAAAAAAAAAACAAACCACCCAAAACCACACAACAGACAGGATCAGCAGGGAAAAATATGCCTTGAGCGCACAACTTGGGCCTTTTTAAAGATTAAAAATAACTAAGTAGAAGCATGTTCAATGTAACATGGTTAATTTAACTCCAGTTTTGTTTCTAGACAAAAAAGGACAACAGAAAAACTAAGCTTTAGACTTCTACAGTGATGACAAGGAGGTTTTGCAAGTAAGCATGTTAAAACTTCTGCATCTGATAAACTGGTTATAATAAAGTTCCAGTTTTCGTACTTCAGTCAGAGCTTCAGTTTAGTTTGTATTACAAATGGGACTTTCCCCCCACAACACAAGAGCAGTAACCAACTTGTTGAACTGTACCATAAACAAACACCATCAGGTGGAAACAAAAACAGAATACATTGGGCAGAAACTTCAGTTAAGTTCATTACTATCACTTCTTAACTTCAAACAGCAAAGAAAAGCAGCATAAAGCCTATCAAAGCTATTCTCTTTAGTAAACTCAAGAAATTATTGCAACGCAGTGAGACATCATTTATTTTAGAACTCAGCAGAGTTCTCATTCATTCCTAGTGTCAGAAGCCAGGAATAACTATATCTTAAATCCTGATGAGACTTCCCTATCATGCACCAGAAAAATCCTCCTTCTAGCCACCATCTCTCTTCTCCTCCCCTCTATATTTTTAACTTTGCTCTCAACCTGTATATATCAAACTCAGAAACATGAAAAAATGCTACTCTTAAAACTTTACATTGCTGATGGTCTTCCCAGGAAAAGAAAGAAACAGCCTTTCTTAGAAAGCGTGGGGGTTTTCATTTTCTGTTGTCAAGTGTTTGGAGAGCACACAGAAATCAATCTCTTCCTGCTCCCATCAACAGGTCTGCTTTGGAAGGAGTAATGAAGTCTAGGAAAGTGCTAGAAACATTAGTTACAAGTTGGGAAAAGGTAGAGGAAAATGATTCTTTCAGTGCCAAAAGTTCACACAACACTAAGTCATCCTACCATTTCTATAATACTTTACATTAGATAAGGAAATAGGTAAACAGCCCATGTAAACACTCTGCCAGTCACTGACATTAACTGAAAATTTGGTCTCAGGCTCTTCATTTGTCTTTAGATAGGAATTAGAAACAGTTTAATCACTGCCCTAAGATGCTGCACCACCTTCTCCTCCAACTTTTACATGACAAATATTTTCAGAGGCACTCTCACTTTATCTTTTGCTGGAAGACAAACTAAAAAGTGCCAAGTAGCGAGCAACACAATGCTCTTTTTCTAAAAATACTGATACCATGCAGCTTGATCTAAAAACATACAAGTCTGAGCAAAAGAAAACCCATCATGTAGTCAAGAAAAAAAGAAAAAAAAAAAAGCTTTGGGCTTTTCTGTTGTTGTTCAGAAGGATTATCTGAATTCCCAATATTTACCATAAAAAAATAAAGAGACAGAGAAAGAAAATGTTTCTTCAATCAGAAGTATCACATTCCAAGTAAGCATTAGATTCCGAAATTAAGAGCACTACTTATTGGTTAAGTGCTCCTAGACTGAAGCTTTCAACTGGCAACCTAAAGTTGCTGTAGAAGAAAACTGGACACAGATTTTATTTCCTCCGCATACCTAACTATGTAAGTGTGAAATTGACAAAATTACACAAAACCCATACCACAGATAAGAAGAAAATAATCTCTGAAAGGGCTGGGGAAAAAGAAAACAAAGAAAAAAACCAAAACAGGGGAAAAAAAAAAAATCAAACACACACCACAGAAATTGTCAGAATACTTACACAGTTGCATATTTCCACTTTAAAAAAAAATTAAAAGTCTTTCTGAATAGCATCTAGATGGAATTATGACAGAAAGCTAAGCTATTTTCTAGTATTTCTGGGACACTTGGGTAAATGTTATCCACACAAGCATTATATTATAACTAGCATTACTTAATAAACAAAGCACATACCACTCTGGCTGCTCTTTCCTGAGATTCACACTTCCTGCAAAACCAAGGTCCAGTGGGTACTTGAACAATTCCATAGCAAGCTGTTTTGAACAAGACAAAATATTTCAGCAAACAAGAGCAGCACTACAGTACTAATATGAATGTTATTAAAAAAAGTTTAGTATTCGTTGAGCTCACATGATTTTAACAAGTCAAACTGACATCTACACATTGCACATTAAATCCTACCACAGTGGTAGCAGAAATGAAGTACAACAAGCTTCCACTTAAAAATTTACACAAAATTTGTTAAAAAAAGGTACTGATTAGCTTGAAAAGTAATGTAAACCTTCAAAAGCAGCAATGTCTCATATATGATCTGTTTTGCTATTTATTTACTAGCAAAACAGGTAAAACACAATAACACACACCCATAATTTATAATGAAGTCTTTTTTAAGATAAAACTAATAGCAACTAAGAAATCTTGAGTTTGTCATGAGAGATTCATACACTTAATTACTATCAACTTCTCTTACTCTTTCTAAAATAACTGGTCTTAAGTAGAAAATCCATAATAAACACAACAAAGCCACAAAGTTTGTGCTTTTTTCCCCCTAAAAATTCATATGGAGCTGCAAATACAACTAAACTGAGCATAAGGGCTAGGATTAGCTGCAACTATAGCCAGGCTACAACATAAGTCTCTTTGAAAAGAGATTTTGAGACATGCAGATTTACCTGCAAGACATCTATATTTTTATAGTCTATTAAAAAAAAAAAAAAAACCCACAAACAAACAAACAAAAAAAAAAACCACCCAGGAGTTTGATAAGAAATTCCACAGAAAAAGAGTTTAGTATTCCGGCAATACTGTTCATGTTTGAAATGCACAGATCAGGAAACTTTAAGAACTGCTGAAGGAATGAAAACAGAAGAACACAAGCGCTGTGAGTATATTCTAATATACGTATGGATTTAATAACTATTAACAAACAATCAAAAAGCCAAACATTTTCCTCAAAAAGACAATCCTGAATCTGACATTTTTAATAGCTCAATTCCCAACAATCATGTGTTACTTAGAAAATCTGGTTTAAGTGTGTAACTAGGAAAAAAATATATATGATAAACTAACAGCTAAGAGGAAAGCTGAGATTAAATTAGTATCTTCTAGTACATATACAAAAATACTGTTGGTTTTGTGCTAGTCTGAAGACCAATAAAAAAGAAAAACAGTAATGCAATAGTAGTATAAAAAACACTTGGCTAATACACCTTTCCTTTTACAAAGGAAAGTCAATGAAATCATCTCCTATTCTATACATACATGTAGTCATATTAAGATCCGTTGTCAGATGTTCAAATACATTATCCGAGTACCGACAGACCAAACTATCCTCTTTCTACTGCACAATAAAGTTCTTTAGCATGAGGAAAAACACCTTGTTTTCGTTGCATCTGTATTAACCACAGATGAGGGGGACTTTGAGTTCCTCTTCAGAAATTAAGAAGGAGACTTTAAACGTGCATTCGCACATTTAGATTAACAACAGTCAATACAGAGTAAGGAACTAATTACAGAATGCAAGTCATCAAGACAAGGCTGGCAGTTAGATCCAAAGGCAACAGGAGCTGGGCAAAGAGCAAAGTTGAAGTGAAGTTCTTTTATATCTACCAACATAACAGAGTACACTCAGAGCCTAGAAGTCCACCACAGGTTTGTGCTCTGATATGCTGTGATACTCTTTATTGAGCTCCAGGACTTCCTTTGGTTTACACTTCCACTACTATGCAAAGCTTCTTCAAACACAGGAAGAGATTTTGTCCTCCACAACTTTCCAGTGACTTAACACTTGAAAAGAGGTTTCCTCTGAACCAAAAATAATTATAACAACATAAGAAGCAGACAATAAAGTCTCACGGGTAATACTGTTGCCTGAACTCCAAGGGACTACCAGCTTTAACCATGAGGACTACTACTTTTACTACAAAACGAGTGGACACGCTTCCTCTACCACCCTCACTCACATTACACATCAAATCCAAAATGCAAAACATCAATGACACAGTACATCAAAACACAGTTCTTCTGTTCTTCAGACCTCTACAACAGCATTGGGATTTAGAAGAAGCAGTCTTTGCACACTTCCTGCCAGATTCAAATTCAGATTTGGACTTGACCTTAAAAAAAAGTTCAATACTATTGTACCAAATTTAATGAAGTGGGTCTAAATTTTTTACTTCCTAAAACAGACTTCTGTCTTTCCCACTATTTCAGCTCCAACTGCTGTTACCATCAAATGCTCTTACTGAAAATACTAGCAAGGCTCTAGATGCAAAGGAAGATGCCCAAGATAATAGAAAAGTAACAGCTGGTTCAGGTATGACTTTTAAAAGTTTTCATGTTTCAGTGTTCTTTTTCATGATCCTAAGATTCCACAACAGAGAGTTAACTTACTGGTTAACATCACTCAGCTATTAAGACGACGGAAAACTGGTTCAAAACTAATTTCACTGATCCTGTCAGCTCCCAGCTGAGTTCAATCCAACATTAACAAGAATAACTGAATTCCTTTGCAGATCTCCTTAAATCACGACTATTTCTCATTACTTCTTGGCAGTTTACAAAGGAGCATATACCTGAAACAGTTACTACGCACACATTAGTACAGTTACAGACACACATTAGTAGTATTTTCACATGCACTAGGCATGCAGACAAAATGCACTGGATTTAGGATTTTCTGTCTCCTCCAATTTGTTCACCACCTAGGAGGAGTCAAACAGCCAGCCACAGAGTTCATATGACTGCCTGGGAGTTGAAAGAGAGGAACTATCATCTTATTTCTCATTTCTGCTGCCATAAAGCAAAAGTCATCATAACTTCCTTTCTTACAATGTAAGCAGCAGAACCCAGTCTCTTCCCCTGCTCTCACAAGAAGGGTCAACCCACTGACAGAAACAAAACAATCACACATGGAACAGGAACATGCCAGATCCTTGAGCCAAGCTGGAAACCAACCAACCAGCCTCCACTAATCCAAACAAATCCAGCATCAGCCATTCGGACTAGCACCCTCCCCCTGCAGAACCACAACAGGAAGTCTCTTCATCTACCGGGAAACATCAGCCAAATGACATTCAAGGAACAGGAGGCAGAGGAAGGAATCACATGACAGACAAGTCTTTCCTACACACCACTCTCTTCCAATCCTAAACCCTCCTTGTCTACTGGCTGCCCCTCAAACAAATTTTTCTAATTTGTGAAAGGCAGGGGCAACAGGGACCGAGTACAGGAAGAAAGACAGACAGCAACAATTGCCAGAACAGAGATTCTGTAAGAAGTTCCACAAAGAAGGAAAGGAGTTTTAGGTAGTCTTTGGACTACTGCAGCTGAGGTTGTTAATAGGGTGCAAAGGTGGGCTGGGAAGCAGAGACACAGAATAGGTACAAGGGGAAGAGAAAAAAATCCTGGAAGCGACGGTCTTCCTTTCTCGCAGCCATAATGTAGGAAGTCATAACATCGGAAGTCTCTCATGAGGGAAAAGACAGACAGACTGGAAGGACAGAGGATGACAGGACAGGTCGGACTAGAAAGCACGTGGCCCTAGAAACAGGGAAACAGGCTTCGCAGGTGACAAGAAGGAGCTGGGAGAGGGGAGGGAGAGAAGAAGGGGAGAAAAACGGCCAGGGGGGAAGTAGGCCCAAGGGAAGAGGACAGGGAGCATCAAGAAGGAAGTAGCAAGGCCTGAGGCCAGAGCGGGTGAGCTGGCACTGGCCTACCTACTCACCTTGATGCACTGCGACATTGCAGCCGTGCCCATCGCAGTAGACAAGCGGGTTCTCGGCCCAGCCCCTCTCGTCGGAGCACACGCAGCACCCGCCGATCATCTCCTTCATGCTATTGGAGAACTCACCCTCCAGTGACACAGGCAGCAGCAACGGCTCACTAGAGACCATCTAAGGGTTAAAAACACCGTCGTCAACAACACACCCGCGCACACACGCCTTACCCCCTGCCTGCCCCCTCCCCGGCGGTGTCTCCCCTCAGTCACTCA